AAATCCTTAGATTTATCCCATGTGTTATTTTACCCCTTCTGAAGGCTGCTGCATCCATTAGTTTTTAGTGGTGCAGGAAATATGACAATAGGCTAGTGAATTGTTTGTAGTGGTTCTGCAGGCTGAGCCTTACCTGTTGTCCAAATGCAAGCTGCTTTTCTTGTGCCCTTTTCAAGACATCACTAAATCCTGAGTATATTGGAAGACTAGCTGGAGTTGGAACACAGTTACATCATCCAGAACAGTTCTATGTGGAGTAAGGCTGAAATTATGGTATGCACATATTTTGCTTTCAGTATTTTCAATATGGAACAATATTTTCAAGAAGTTGTAGTCACTCAGACTACTCTTTTGAACAGGTATCAACAATTTTAAGTCAGCAAATTGGAGACAAAGCTTGTTTTGTTATTCCAGTAGAGATTGTAGTTATTTGCAGCCAGCGGCAGGGAAAATATCCTCCTTGTTGCTAAGTGAGGTACACCTGTTGATATAACTGATACAGCCTTTTGCAGAGCTTGTGTTTGGCTGTCCAATTGTATTATCCTGTCCTTTTCAGAATCAACCCTTCACAGGATTGAGTTCATTCTTTTTTATTTTAGAAAGAACAGTTTTACCTTTATGTATTAAAACCTTTTGTTATGCCTAGCTTTTTAAGCTATTCATGCCATTTTAGTAGAGTAAAATGACTTGATCTCTTATCACTGTCATGGTTTGTCATTTCCAGACTTACTCTAACTTCCTCTTTTTTTTTTTTTTTTTTTTTTTTTTTTTTTTTTTTCCTGAGAGCTGAGTTAAAAACATGTTCTGTAATGAGAAGCCAAGAACTGATACCTTCCCTTCCTACTGGAAACTCACATGCTCAACAACTCTGTATTTACTGTTAATATTTAAGGGCAGTCTGTCCAGTTTTAATGCATGTAGTATCTGTTCTTTGTTTTTGTTGAAGAAACATGTTGTGTAATGCCAAATAAGGTTTAAGATTGTTTTTCCAGTTCTCTTATTAGTACCTTTATCAGCAGTACCCATCACCAGAAGATTCTCATCAAGTTAATTGGATAAGCTTTTTTCCATCAATCACACTTGTCTTTTAATTCTTTACAAATAACAGCCAGTGCCAACTATTAACTTTTATTTGGTCTCAGATCACTGTTGGCTAACAGGCCTCGATTGTCCCATTTGCCCTTTCAGAACAGAGTATTTAATGCAAGACTTCTATTTTTGTTCCAGACCTCTGAGACTTCCAGGACTCAAGTTATTTGCAAGTCTTCTTCAAAGGTCTAGGTAGATTTCATCTTCCAGAAGTCTTGAATGCAAGCTATCTGGGTCTGCTGATTTAAAAGCTCTGTTTGTGTCCATTTTATATCCTTGCATCAAATGTGATATAATGGCATTTATTTCCAAGATATGTTTATTGAGCACTTCTGCTTATTTTGATGCCAACCTTTTGTCCATTTTGTCTGACTTCTCCTTCTGCCACACAGTACTTCTCCCTTTTCAAATTCCTATCTGTCTTTACTTGTCCTCATAGCTAAAAAGAAAAGGCACCTGCAACTGGTGGACATACCACGTCTTACTGTCTGACCAGATTATGTGCACTGACTTGTACAGATTGCTGCCTCTTGACTACTGATAAGGAAAAGGCTTTTGATGATACGTGTAGCATAGACCCCCATTGGTGTGAAGTTTAAGCCTTTAGTTTTCAAGACTAGTTCAGTGGCATCACAGAGAAATCTAATACTGTATTGTCAAGAAAGCATTGATTTATTTTCTCCCTAGATTGATTACACAGTCTGACAGGTAGCACTTTTATTATTGTTGTAGAGGGTGTCAGGAATAACACTATACCTAGTACCTCCTGTCAGGGTTTATCGATGAGCAGCATGCTTCGTATCCAGAATAAATCAAACACTTGGATCCAGACACGGAGTTTAGCTGTGTCCCAGTTAAGGCACTGAAGGCTGTGTGCCAAAGGTGGACTACCCACCTAAGCACACAGGTGCCAGTGGGAACCTAATTTTCGTAGAAATCAAATCATTAAACACCTATGTGAGAGAATGAATGAATCTGGGACCAAATGTTACGTATGTCCGGAGCTGTTCCTGTCTTGGAAAGACTTTAACAAGTTGTCATGACAGTCATATTTGAGTCAGTTTGGGTTATGGTTAATTCTCACTGGTGTCCAATTTGATAGACATATTTTGATTTATGCCTAAGAAGTGGTGATGATAGCACTGAGTGCATCATAAGTTATGGATTCAGTCAAAAGTCATTGTGTGTGATAAAGGAGATTAGTGCTTTCTCATGTAAGAGACTAGTCATTAGCATGGTGGCTTGGGAATAATGAGCTGGATTCAACTTAAACCTGGGGAAATTCAAGCCAGCTTAGTCTGGGAGCATGTAGTGTTATAGCTTGGAGTATTGGAATTACTTTTCTGTCTGTGACACTGTAGATAGCGCAAAATGTTTGGAGCTCTAAGATCAAGAGATGGCATGAGAGCAGGCCTGGTTGTAGCTATCATGGGAGGAAGGATGCCTTGATTCTAATGCCTGCTTCCAGGCTGTACATTCATTTTGCATTAAAGAGTCATTGGACAGTATCCTGGGAAGCTTACCATCAAACTTGCCAGCTTGAAAGATGATCCGAGTAACTTTCATCAGCCCTCTGCTACCTGCAGAAGTGGTGGGGACTGACTGTAGCCTGGAGGATTTTTTGATGAGTGGGAAAGCTTTTAAAGTGAGGTAGGAATATAAAACTCTGTCCTCATTGCTTGGGAGACTAATTAGTCTGGCAAAGCAGGTTTAAATGACTTGGCGTAAGAGATGATGAATTTTTAAGTAATCACAGTTAGGTTTCAAAGTCTTTTGACCTAGAGGGATTTTTTTTTGCCCAACTTTAATCTTTGCAGAGTATACCAGGGAAGTAAATGAAACCTCTAAAATAATTTCAGAATGCTTTTTTTTCCAAGTTCATAGTTTTATAGTAGGACAACCTTCAGCATGAGAATAGCTAAATCATGTATATGTATAGCTGTACAAGAGGCTTCTAGTGCTTTGTTAATGCATTTTCTAGAAAAGGTGAAGTCTGTGTTCTGTGTGAGTCATCTTGTACTAGCAGCGCTGTATTACAGATTTCAACCCGCAGCAGGTATACAAAAACATCTGCCTTAGAAGGGCAAATAAGTAAAAGCAGTCAACTGGGTGGCATGGAGATAGTTTTAGGGAACGCTTCTGAGTAGTAAACTGTAACAGCAGCTCTTTAAATTAACCAAATATCATCTCTAAACTTGGTACTGAAGTCAGCGTCATTAAGCTGACTTTATCACTCCTTGAATTTTATTGGGTATCTCTTCATTTAAAGTAAGTTTTATATGCCATAACTAGTAAGCATCTCTGTTTATGAGCAGACAGTGTATCTGTGTTAGAAGTTTAGAAGTGTTTGTAGAGAGTTTCATTAGTCAGATATCAAGGCAGAACTTAAAAAACCTGTAACGTTACTGACTGTCAGGCTGTGTAACTTTAAAATTGTACCTACTTATTTTTACCAAGCTACTCTAAGTACTGGCTAAGAGAGGCAGTTCTGCTTTAGAAATACTGTATAAGCTTATTCTCAGCTTAATCTGTATGTCCGTGTTTGTTACGCACTGTTTTCAGATGCAAAATGTGATTAACTTGTGGGAATTCTGAATGTATCGTTCACCTCTAGTGAATTCTTTCCATCTGTCTCTTTGTTTTGTTAAGAAATATCAATTTCTCAGTTCTTGTTGATCTAATTTTTTTTTTTCCTCCAAAAGCTAAGTGTACTGAGCCTGACTGGGATGGAGTTAAGACCAGTACACTAAACTAGTATAACTTAGGTTTTTTTTTTTTTTAACAAATTTAAATACAGTTTCAAAAGCAGCTTATTAGACTTGCAATATGTATTTCCAGCATGGAAAAATGGTAATCTTCAGCTTTTCTGGTCTTAATTCTTCCATCCAGTCTTCGTATAGCACTAACATGCAAAATATCATGAAACACATTACTTATGACTTGTTAATGTAATCGAAAGGAATGCTCAGCTAAATCTTGCTTTCTGTTATGCTGTTACTTGACACTCATCAGAGTTGAAGTGGATCGCTGCTTTCATGGGCCTCTTGCCTCGGTGGCTTTTTTCCTTGTCATCAGATTTCATGTAACTTTACAGTGTGTGCTAGTGAGGGCGTTTTCGTAATAGTTATGAGGATTATAATTTTGTGTGCAGGTATTACCTCTTTTGTGTTTGGGTTTTTTTTTTCTTCCCCTCCTCCCCCCAAGTTTTAGCTGCTGGGTATTAAAGGGCCACTGGTTATCAAAATGACACAGCTTTAATTCTGGGTCTAATACATTTTAAAAGTAAAATGTCAGATTGCGCAGAAGATTTTTTTAAATTCATTTGTGTCTCACTTGAACATTTCCTAGCAACTCGTTCCTAAAATAAGTGTCTCGTTTGTTATAATGGTAGAAAAAGTGGGTTGATGATTTAAAAACAAAAACAAACAAAACCCCCAGTGTCTGTGTTTGTAGATCTTAAGTTTTTACCAGTTTCATATAAACAGGAACACTATATATGTAAGTTCTAAGGAAACTGCGCTTTTTTTCCTGTTTTTCCATTTTTTCCAGTAGGCATTTTGTCAGCAGTGCCAGTCAAACTTAGACAAAATCTTGGTTTATAATTCAAGCTAAAGATTCAGGTTTGTTACATCACAGCCTTGGAGCTATCTTCTTCTAAGGTTCAGCCGCTAGAGGGGGTCTAAACCTACCCTCTGTATAAATAAGGCTTATATTAGCTGGCACAACACACCTCCACGTTTACATGATTGCTGGAATGCTGTGGAAACATGCTTTCTAAAGGTGTCTAATTTAATAATTTTTTTTTTAAAGTGAGGCTGTTTTTTAAGCGTAATTATTCAGAAATATTTGTATAGTTTAACGATGTGAGTAACTTTTCTTTGCAGGTGATCTTGTGAATTAGTGTTCCATCAATGATGGCAGAACATCCACCGTTACTGGATACCACTTCGATTATAAGTAGTGAAATCCCTCTTCTAACTTCCCCTATTGTTAGTGGGGATGGAGCACAACAGGTAAGGAAACTTCAATACCTTTTCTTTTTTTTTTTTTTTTCTTCTTCCAACAGCATCATTGACATTGACACTGTAAAAGATAGTAAACCTTCATCTGGAATATTTTTGTGCAGCTTTGGTCATGCATCTGTTTTGGAGATTGAGGTGAAGGTAGAACTGGTGCAGAGAAGGGATTTGTAAGGAGTGTGAAGCAGAAAATGTGTCTTGTGAAAGAACATCTTCATAGGAGGATGGAACAGCTGCCAAGCTGTCTAGCCATGCTTGAGTCTAATTTGGAAGCTATATATTTACAGTACCACGTCACCTTGTTAAGGTTAATAAACCTTCCCCTATGGTAGAGCTTACTAGCTCAGGCACAACATGCTTACAGCTCTATGGCCTCTAGACTGACGCTTGCTTACAACTGGGTATCTTGAATGGTGGGAGTTGCTTTTGTATGTTGATGTCTGCCCGGACACTTCTTCAAAATTTTTTTTTTTTTTAGACAAAACCAGTCAAGGTGATAGAAAACCTTGTGATTATGGTTTCAGAACACTTGAGAAAGGTCACATTCAACTTGTTGTCTACCATTCCTTTTCTGAAAAGCTGCTTTCCAGCCAGTCAGTCCCTCGTGTGTACTGTTGCATGGGATTATTCTTCGTCAAGTACAGGACTTTGTATTGCCCTGTGTTGAACTTCATCAGATTCCTG